TTGAACTCAGGCTCTTGTGCTTGCAAGGCAGGCGGCGGAACCACTGAGCTACATCCCTAGCCAACCTTTAATGAATAAATATGTTTCTGTAATAGAGATTGACTTTTTGACAATCTAAAAATATCTATATGCTAATTCGTAATAAAATCCAAAAGATTCCTGGGTACAAAATTAATTTTCTCTCAGCTGGATCTTGTAAAATTGCTGCATACCTTGCTTGCTGACCACAAGTTAATTGTGCCTATAGACTTCAAAAGTCTCCAAATTCACACAGTAACTTGAAAAACAATTATTATTCAAACTCCAAGTTAGAATTTTAAAATAAGACATCCAAGCCAAGTGTGGTGGTGCACACCTGTAATCCCAGCACTCTGGAGGCTGAGGCAGGAGGATCCCCGTGAGTTCAAGACCAGCCTGGGCTACATAGTGAGTTCCAGGTCAGTCTCAACTACGTAGTGAGACCCTGTCTCAATAAACAAACAAACAAATAAATTAAGACATCCATAAAAAAAAATTTTTTGAATGACACTGGGGCCATGAGTATTTGTCCAAATTCTTCATTCAATAAAAACCTAGTGTAGGGCTGGGAATTTAGCTCAGTGGTTCCGCCACCTGCCTTGCAAGTGCAAGGACCAGAGTTCGATCCCCGGTACCAAAAAATATCTAGTGTTTATTGTGCTATGGTAGGTTCTGGGACATGACAGTGAAAAATCTACCTTAACTGGTAGTTCAGTTTATGCCACTGATTCAGTAGCAATAGTGTGAAACTAAAAAACCATAAATCTACTTAATAATACTATTGTTTAGCCAGCATTTTTCACTCGATGTTAGCCAAAAGGCCGAGAAGCGATAGCCAACATTTTTCTGTTTGCTAAAGAATAATGTGAAATGTCCAGATGATTTTGCTAAAATTCCACTGGAGTAACTAATGAGTATAAACAATATGCCAACATGAGGACTACAAAAATTAGTGAGATATGAACCTTACTCTCAAGAAGGTCATAATTTTGAGAGAGACAAACTCTACCTTGGCATTCCTCCAATATACCAGAACAGTAATCCCATAAAAATGAGTCATCCTATACTTCATCTTCTTACTCTTAGCTATATCCTGCTGTAAAATTAAAATACATCTTTTCTCCCTTAGTGTTTATAAGTTGCAAATATTTATGGACTTATGACTCTCCTTTACTATTTCTCAGCCAACATGAATACACTAGCTCTCTCCCTTCCTTTTAAAGTAGTTCCTCACTATAAGTAATCTTTTTGGTAACTTTATTTAATTAAATTCTCTACTTCTGAATTAAGTTCTAGGATTCAAATTATACAACTAAAATATTCCAGATAAGAAATCAATCACAATAAATACTTTAGAAAAACCATGACAATGTAATCCAGTTACTGGGATTCCTGATCAGTGAAAAGAATTGGGGAGGCGTCACAGACCAGATGGTTTAATGCTTCAAATCTTACTAGAGTTACCTGAGGAGCAGAAGCATTTAGTAGTAAGTGGGTAAAATACAAACAAGCACCACACTAGGTCAGAATCACCTTCAAAACACATTCAACATTATGTTCACGCTATGGCCGAGGGAATAAACATCAATGGTGGCTTCTATGGAGGAGGTGGAATCCGTCTGTTCTTCACGAACTTTTAGTCCCCTTAAAGAGATACCCTGTGATGGTTAATTTTGACTGCCTCCAGAGACATCTCAACAAGGAAGGCACACTTCTGGGTGTCTGGCTGGTCGTGGAAGTGTGACCCTGGGGACTCTATCTGGCCCCTGACCTTTCTATGGGCTCTTCCCCTGCTCCCTACTTCCCAGATGCCACAAGTTAAGCAGCTCTCCACCATGTACTTCCACCATCATGTTTCGAACTTGGAGCTAACACAGCACAGACTGAAACCTCTGAAACTGTGAGCTGAAATAAACCTCTCCTCCTTTAAGTTATGGAAGTCCGATCTTTATTCCAGCAATAGGAAAGTTAACCAAATATCCGTCAAAACTCTCTAGACTTCCCAGTTATCCATACTGGAGCCAGTCAAAACTACATTCTCATTTTGAGACAATCCAAGTGCTTTTGCCCTCAGATTTTTTACATTCAACATTCTCTTAGATTTCCTTCATCTCCTAAATCTTTAAATTCTACTCATCCTTCAAAGGCCAACTCAAATGTCACCTGCTAGTGAAGCTTTCTCCTATCCCCCCACGTAGAACCTCTTTGTCTATAGTCACAAGTCACATTCTCTCTTACCTATCTCTCACAATGCAATTTCTTCTCTTGGACTACTGCCTTGAGAAGGACTCTGAGAATGTCTTATTTGTATTGTCCTTATTTCTATTTTACACACATGAGAAAATAATAAAAATGTTCATTGTGGACACTGTGTTCAAATATTCAATCCAAAAAATGCTGCAATAATCAATGTTCTCGCTGATATTCATTCACTGATTTTCCTCAACTTGTACTGCATGTGGGACAGTGGTGCCCCCAAAAAGATCAAACACATACTATGCCCTCTAGGGGATGATCTAAGATATATACATAAATTATAATACTAATGGATAAATGTTTATAGGAAAATAAATATAAAAGGAACCAGTAACAAAAAGGTATTATTCCTAAGAAGAGATGGGTACAAGGCAAATTTTAACGTTTGTGTTGAGTCCTGAAAAACAGGTTGTATTTGAATATGTAGAGAGAGAGAGGCAGAGTTTTAAGGCAGAGGAAATAAAACCCATCAAAGTAGTAAACTTCAGAAGGATACAAAGAACAATCAATACTTCAAAAGTACAACATATGTGGAAAAATAACAGGGAGAGAGAAAAATTTTAAAGGCATTTGGAGTTAAAAATGCTAAGACCCCGAAAGCAAAATAAAAAACTATAGCTTTCACCTATCTATAAAAAAAGTATTTCAAAGTTGTTGAGCCAGGCGTGGTGGCACACGCCTGTAATCCTAGCACTCAGGAAGATGAAGCAGGAGGATCACTGTGAGTTCGAGACCAGCCTGGGCTACATAGTGAGTACCAGGTCAGTCTCAAATACATAGTAAGACCCTATCTCAAAAACAAACAAACAAAAAAGCTGTTGAGCAGAAGCTGAGTAAATAGCTCATAAGTCTAAAGTGGATAGAAAAAAGAGGAAAGGGGTGGATGAAAAGAAAACAAGAGGGTAACTACTATAATACAAGAAAGAAGAAGTAAGGGCCTAAAGTAGGAAGGAAGCACTGAACATGAAAATACAAAAATGGAAGAGATATTTTAGTGATGACACTGACATGGAGTACAAAGAAGGATCTGCAACGAGGTAAAAGATATTACTAGGCTAGGAAGAGAGCAGTGCCACTGCCAAAAGATAGGACACTGAAGTAACACGAAGCTTGAATGGAAGAAAACTGAGCTATGGTCATACTTTTTTCAATGGACATTTATGCAACAATATCATAAATAAAATGTGTTAAACTGTTCTAGGACAAAATATACAACTTTGTGAACCAAGAGAGAAGTACTCAAATTAATCTTCAATATAAGATTTGGATTAATTATTCAAACATGATCATAACCTTGAAAATATAATGCACACTGGCTACATTAAGAATAGAGCAAATTAAAATCTAAATGTCATCTATGAGACTGACTGATCTAGAACAACTTTATATACCTAAGGACCATTTTAAAACATGGATGATTCATTCAATTCCCAGTACTAAGAAGAAAAAAATAAAATAAAATAAAATAAAGACAATTCATAGTTAATAGTAGACAGTTGGAAGTCTTGAAGAACCTTACAGTTAAAAATGGTATGTGCAGGCTGGGGATTTAGCTCAGTGGTTCCACTGCCTGCCTTGCAAGCACAAGGTCCCAAGTTTGATCCCAGGTACAAAAATAAAAAAATAAATAAAGGTATGTGCAATGCTTCTGTTAAAATGATAAATGCACCTTTTATGGTCACTACCATTGGCTCCAAATAAACTACAATGCCCTAACAAGAGGATGTCAAGTTGGATATCTAGGCCTAGATGACAAGGTACAAAGGATACTAACTTGATCTCTTTATGTGTTCATTATTTTCTGTAATAAATACTTCTCCTCAGTTAGTAAAACTGGAATCTACCTAGACTTATCCCTGCCATATCCCTAAAATTCTTAAAAGCCTAAAAAATAAATAAAATCACTTTAAGGAAGACAAAGAAAATCTCCAATGAGAAATTCTTTTTTAATTTTATTTTATTAATTTATTTTTTTGGTGCCAAGGACTGAATTCAGGACCTGTGCTTGCAAAGCAGATGGCAGAACCACTGAGTTAAATCCCCAGACCGAAAAATTCTCAAGAAATGCAGCAACTCAGTACCCATGTCTTCCTAAGAAAACAACCCCCCCAAAAACATCTCACCAATATAAACTAAAATAATAACACTGTGAAAATGAACACATAGCATGTAATTTGATATTAATAAATGTTACATGTATACTGAATAAGTAACAAGGAAAATCAAATATATGAATTGTGGCTAAGTTGTCCAATATGTTTATTCCCCCTATTCAATATATTCATTCATTTATTATCAATGCTGATAACACATTATTTCAACCAGATCAGATATATGTCATTATTTTAGTTTAGGTCTTATGGGCAAAAATGAGAATTAAGTCTTTATTAATGTTTTTACTGATGAGCAGCAGTAATATAAATAACAAACTGACCAGAAATGTACTTGTTTCACATATAACTACTCCACTAAAATTACACACTAATCATTGGTTAAAGATCAAGCAGACATTGTAGTTACGCATTAAAAATAATGGAGTAATATACACCAAATGTCAAAGGTAATCTTTTGATTCTAAGTTATGGGTGATTTTTGTTCCTTTTCATTTAGGTGTATTTTCAAAAATTTTTATAACTAATGCTTCATTGTAATTGTACCAAGAAAAAAATAATCTGTTTAAAGAGGAAGAAAAGATATATTGATAAATTTTAAACACATATACTTACCAGGTCTCTGTGAAGCACCCAGTTTGCATGGAGATAATGGATACCATCAAGAATCTGGTAAAGTAATGACTTGACCATAGATCTTGGCAACTGCATGGGCTTTTTATTTGCTTTTGATGCGCGATGAAACTTGATTATATGCTAAAAATTGTAAAAATAAAATATACTATAATAATATATAGTCTTTGCTAACATCTTTGTCAGTAAAACTCAGTCAAGGCTACAATAAATGCTCTATATTCAAAATTACTTTGTAGAAACCAATAATGACATAAAAATAATTTTAATAACAAAGGCAACCAAGATTGAATTTATTTGTGGGGGTGAATGTAATCACACTAATCTAATGTGGGGCTCTAATATGAGATTTACTGAAACTGTTATGATTTTCATTAAATAGAATCAAAGGTACAAAAAGTTGTTACATATTGAAGCACCTATCTAATGAAGTTTAGTCCTCTACCTACAAAACAGATCAAAAAAAAAAACAAGAAAAAATTTAAATCTTTACTCTTCTATAAAAAGTTAACACTAAGTGCATTTGGGTGATATCACTATTAATAAGGAAACTATTGAAAAAGTTCCATCTTGCTTTGTACAGACTGAATTAAGACATATTTATAGGAGTAAATATTAAATAGGAAATAACTGGAAAGAGGAAAAAGAAAGAGAAAAATGAAGAATTTAATCCCCTTGTAATAAATACAACTGGATCCTCATATTCAATTTGGATTTTGTTTTTGTTTGGGGGGGGCTGTACTAGGGATTGAACCCATGACCTTCTCTACAACCCCAGCCCTTTATTCATTTTTTACTTTGAGAAAGGGCCTCACTGAGTCATTCAGACTGGGCTTGAACTTTTAATTCTCCTGCCTCAACCTCCCTGAGTGTTGGAATTACAGGAATATATTACCTCTGCCAAACTCATACTGAAATATTTATATATCTACATTATACTGCTGGTTGTAAAAACACTGCAATAATAGGAAAGAAATGGTACTTGCCATCCCTAGCTCTCTACCTCCCACTTCCACCCCAACTCAACTCCACCTTCTATCTAAAATATGCCAAAATGGATACTAAGGACCACTTAAAATTCTATTCAAACAACACTAGTAAAGCTGTCAACAGTCAGTTACCAAGCTTAAACATACAGTTATGTTATTTATACAGCTTTCTTACTTCTATAAACTGTTCTGAAACATTCATTTGATTTTAAGAAACATTCAAAAATATGAGTTTATACAAAAGTAGTTTTTCCAACAGAAACATAATAGGAGGCACATACATACCTTTTAAAAAAAACACATTTTTATATAAAGGAAAAGAAATAGGTAAAACTAGTTTATGCACCATGCTGGATAGGACACTCCTACAGGATCTGATTAGCCCAAAGTATCATATCATATCATATCATATCATATCATATCATCATATCATATCATATCATATCATATATCATCACATCATCAATGTTCAAAGTGAAGTACATATATCATCAAGTAAACCTTGGTAGAAATGTGAGAATATAGAAAAATGAGGGAAAATAAAATTTTATCGGCATCTATGAAGAGAGCTGAGAAAAAAAAACACTGGAGGTTCTAGTCAATAGTTGGTTAAGGGCATGTACTCTGAAAGTTCCTTCAAGACCTATGAGTTTGTGAAAGTTATACCTAAATAGCTATAATTTTTATACATGACAAATCATACCACATTGAATTAAAATTTAATTATCCATAATTTGAACTTACTGCTAAATCTGAATTGTTTTGTACTTTCAATAGTGAGATACAGTATTTAAATGCCTTAGTTCCTAATTGAAAAAGTTACAGATCAGAATTTTTCTTATTTCTTCATATATTCATAAAACAACCTAGAAGTCTATAAAACTATACATTATTCTTCTACTTGGTAGGCTCAGTTTAAATGCCAAAATACCACAAGAAGTTGATCTTAACTCAGAAATTATTCTCAAGTCCACACCTGGTTAAATGTGAACTGTTGTATCACAAAAGAAATTTTCACTATGCATATTAGTAAACTGACATTCATTACTTACATAAAATTACAAATTCTTACTAAAATTTTCTGAAGTAAAATTTCTGAATATTAGAAATACTATCTTCTTAATAAATGTTAGTTTACTGCTTAGCTTCTTTTTAAAAATTATTTATTGGTACATTTTAGGTATACAGTACAGTTACATTCATTATTGAGATCTTTTACCTTTACATAACAGATCTTGGTTCTCGTTTTTGCCCCTTGTCTCTGCCCTCCCTTCACACTCTCCTCCCCTCCCCGAAGTTTAGCTTCTTTAAAATCAACATTGGTTTAAAGTTTATTTTAAACTGTGGTTAACTGCAAGCTTTCCTTTCTGTGCAACAGCAGTACGTATCACATATATGCTCCATGTCATGCAAAACCATCCGACCTACACAGTGAGTTTAGACTTACCCATAAGTCATGCTCTGCATAATCAAACAGTAGCCACACTTTTCTGTCACTGTGAGAAAGGAACACCTTCTGCAATGCGATCACATTAGGATGCTTCAATTCTCGCAAAAGCTGAATGCAAGAAAAAGACAGACCACCAGATCACTGTTCTGTTAGTGAGAAAAGAGGAATGACCAATTTCTTATAATTTCAAAAAAACTATTTTTCAAAAATTTAGAAAACACAAGCAAGATAAAAAAAAATAGTGTCCAAATTACCATTACTCAGAAATAAGTTCTGTTAAGACCCTGCTACATGTCTTTTGATCCTGTTTGCGTGTATATGTGTGCTTTTACAATTTTAAATGGTGAAGCATAAAGAAGTACTATACAAAAGTAATATTGCATCACTAAAGTATTAATTAAATTTGGGTACATGTATACCTTTTTTACTAAAAAAAAAAAAATAGCTGCTTCCTCCAATCCTGGGGAAAGTACAAATGCAGTCCCCCTGCTACCACAAATTAGGCAGTCAAGTTTCCTACATTTGGGGAAATCTCAGGGTTCAGCACATCTGGAGTGTAATGGATAAGCCTTCATGATAACCACTTTCTTGATTACAGTATTTCCCGTGTTAAATAACTATGAGGAATAGCTTCTTGAGAGGCAGAAATCATGTATTTATGCTGTTTATATCCACCCTAGCACAGTACTGGTGCAATATAAGAAGATTTAACAATTCCTATATTTATTCATACCTAGAGTAGTAGCTAAGAAAAGAGAGTAGTGAATATAAGGACTGAAAATGATATATAATATGCTTACTGATCAAAACTGGAGTTATATAAGTTACTATGGTTTAGATCCTGAATGTCTCCCCAAAGTTGCATGTGTTGAAAGACTGGTGCCCAACCTATGTAGCTATTGGGTGGTGGTGGAACCTGGAGGTTGGGCCTCATGAAAGAAGTTAGGCTGTAGAGTTAAGTGCCTTTGAAGGGGATACTGGGACCCTGGTCTCTCCTCTCTCCTCCTTCCTTTCTTTGCTTCCCAGCAGTCATGGGGTGACAGAGCCCCTCTGCCATGTGCTACTGTCATTATGCACTATGCTGTCACAGGCCCAAAGCAACAAGACCAAGCAAGCATGGGCTGAAACCTCTGAAACTATAGGCCAAAATAAACCCTGTCCCTTATATTAGACTGAGATAATCAGTCAACTGACTAACACAAAGGTGATCCTGGAAATAGGAAAAAAAAGAAAAAGAAATAGGTCTTTAAAAATCTTTGAGCTACCCTCCAACAATAAAGAGGAAAGACAGACCAGATTAGCAAGAGAAACCTCAGTATTTGGCACATAACAGAAAACTGCTTGATAAAATATTTAGTAACACTGACATTAACCACTAAGGTAAAAAGCCTTATAAATATTCTTGCCTCAGGCTGTCCTTATCCAGGATTCAGACTTAATAGTCAGGAAGAAACATACTCAGTTTGATAAATATTTTAACACCTTTTAAAAGTAAAGCTTTTCAGGGGATTTAGCTCAGTGGTGCTGCCACCTGCCTCAAAAGTAAAGCTTTTCAAGCATGGTGGCACATGCCTGCAATTCCAGCACTTGAGAGGCTGAGGCAGACAGAAGGATCACAAGTTTGAGTCCATCCTATGCTACATAGCCAGAGCCTGTCAGAAGAAAGAAGGAAGAAAGAAGGAAGGAGGAAGGAGGAGGGAGGAGGAAGGAGGAAGAAGAAGAAGGAGGAGGAGGAGGAGAAGGAGAAGGAGAAAGAAGCAGCAGCTCTGTGAAAGATACAAAAGAGAAAAAGGCGTCTGATCCAAAGCACTTGAAAAACAAAAGGAAGAAAACATTTACTGAGTACTTTCTTTATTAAATACTTTTACTATGCAAAAGTATTGTGTGCAACTTCTCAATCCTAACAAAAGCTCTATATTGCACAAAGAACCTAAGGTTCAGTGTGGTAAGACTAACTTGACCATCAAGAAAGTTAGAGAGAAGAAGGGACTGGACTTAAACAGGCTTGCCTGACTCCAAAGTCCATGTATTTTCCACTACAGCTAAAGTCCTTGTCTTCGATTCCCACAATGTGGTAGAAAAGAATACGTATAAATAGATCAATGAGGCAAATAAAAATAAATTGCTTACCCATTCTAATAATTTGAATGAAGTATACTTTGAGTGCCTATACTGCAAATCGTGCAAAAATCACCTGAACGCCACCTCTGAAATTTATATATACATACTACTTCTCAGTTGTCTATTTCTTTACTATTTGCAATCACAGATTTCCATAATTCTTTCATTTTAGTACTGTTCTTCCTCAGTTCTTTCTGTTCAATTTACATCTCAACAATTTTGCTGAAAGTGCTCTACCAGCTAAAAAATTAGATATGAATCTAGGATATAACTCCCCAAGTTTTGCCTCCAACCCCTACGTCCTGGAACACAGCTAAAAGATAAAAGCTTAGATGGGCTGGGCTGCTCCCAGCTCACCTTCTATTGTACTTCCACAGTGAACCTCAGGATTCTTTTTTCTGGTCTAGGTGGGAAAGGAAAAGATGGAAAAGAAATGACCAGGGGAAGACACAATAGTCCTGTACCCTGGGGTAGGGAGGTGGGGAAAGCAAGTGCTCAACGATAAGCTGCTATCTCTTGCTACTGCTAAGACCTGTTAAGCAGCCCCTTTCTTCACATGTGTGTGTTAGACCTAAGTTCCAAAGCAATGATGGAGTCAGAGAAAGCTGCACTGTGAAGAGATTCACAGCTATATCCACAGAGTTCGTACCTAGCTTCCTTCCTTAAACACATCTGTCAAGGTTCGTCTGTGCTGTAGCGTGTATCAGAATTTCACTTCGTGGTAAGGCTGAGTAATATTCCATTGTATGTATATACCATATTTTATTCACCTGTGCCCCAGGGAACATTTTGGTTGTTTCCACTTTTAATTATTGCAACTAGTACTGCCTTGTACATTGATGTACAAATGTGTGTTTGAACCCTCACTTCAGTTATGCTGAATATATGCCCAGAAGAGAAACTGCTATAGGTTTTGAGGAAATGCCATTTAGGTCATCTTTTACTATGACATACATGAAGGAAGAATATTTGAATTCTGAGATAGCGTGATGCCTGAAACACTGAAGAAGCTTTTTCAGTCATCTAGATCTAGGGGCTCTGGAGTATCAGCTGTGCACATGAACTCTCAGATGCTTACTTCTAGGCCACTCATATTCCCGAACTCCAGTTATATGTATCCAGTTGCCTCACATCTCTACTTCAATGACTGAAGGTCAAAGCAGAGATTGAGGACTCTCCTCTCCTGCCCTCCTCTTTATCTCCTCTTCACAGTTGATAACAAGCCCATCATTCCAGTTACTCAAGCAAAAAACAAGAACAAAAAAACACTTCACTACTTTAATTCTATTCTCAAATAATCAGCACCTCAGTGAGCCTTCCTTGGCCTTGCTATAGCTTTGTATCCCTTATTTGAAATTCTAGGTGTTCTTTTCTTTTTTTGGTACCGGGGTTGAATTCAGGTCCTTGCGTTTGCAAGGCAGGCGGCAGAACCACTAAGCTAAATCCCCGGCCCTCCTTATCTAAAATTCTAAAGAGCTCACAAAACCAAAGCTTTCTACTAACTCATGTAATGGAAAGCTTTCTACTTCAATAGAATAAAATGGATGGTTAAGCACATGTCAATTTAGTTCCCTAATTCAGATGCCACAGAAGCTGTCGTAACTCTATGTTATGGAGATGTGAAAGGGCAGAATAATTCTTGATTACATATAAATTCTGTGCTATGGAGTAGAGGTTCACTGACTTCCTCCTCCCATCATGGAGGAAGCTAATTTGGCCTCAATTTGGACATTCATTCCAATATTCCTAACCTATAAGGATCTCTACTCTAAAGATTCTACTTGGAATTGCTTATAACATCAGCTTTTCTTTTTTTACTTTTATAGAAAATTGTTAATACTCATTGTACAGAGGCATCTCACTTGAACAGACATGAACATGTTTATGTTATTTATTGTTGTTTATCGTCAGTCTCCATTAACATATAAGCTTTATACAGGCAAAGATTGTTGTTGGTTTTATATCCCCAGTACTTAAAATGGCTCCTAGCACATAATAAACAATCAATAAATATTTGTCCAATGAAATTAGTTTACTTGCTTGTTTTTTGAGACAGTGTTTCATTATGTAGTCCTGGCTGGCCTAAAAATCACCATGTAGCCCAGGCTGGCTTTGAACCTGCAGCAATCCTTCTGCCTCAGCCCCCCAAATGCTGGGATTACAGGCATGGGCCACCACACCTTGCCTGTCAAATGAATTACCGTACTTATTTATTTGGTTCTTAAAAATATAAACCAGTAGTTGGATTATAACATAAATTTTGTGCCTTTTCATAAAGTAACCCCTTTTCAAGCATTTTGATTGTTTTATGGTTCTGGGGATTAAATTCTCAGGACCTTGTGCTTGTGAAGCAGAATGAAACACCACTGAGCTAAATCCCTGGCCCCTTTTCAAGTGTTTTGAATGATTTTTTTTTTTAAATTAACATCCACTCTACTAGAAATGTGAGAGTGCTGCTCTAACATAATAAACAGAGACATAGCTCTGAATTTTCTGGGGTAAAACATTAAACCTGGTGCATTAAAAAGTAAAGGAATGTTATGAGAGTGTTTCCTTAAAAGACTGTAATCCAATTAATGCTAAAAAAATACTAAACAAAATGATACATAAGAACAAGGGGCAAAGGGAAGCACACTTGACAAACTAAAGCAGAAATTAGCCTGGCCTGATGACCAACATACGCTTGTAATCCCACAATTCTGGGAGGCTGATGCAGAAGGATCACAAGTTTGAGGCCAGCTTGGGCAACTTAGTGACCAACCTAGATTCTCTCTCTACATAAAACACTTTTTAAAGGGCTGGGGATATAGCTCAGTGGGAAGATCCTAGGTTCAATCTCTAGTACTGCAAAAAAATAAAAATAAATTAAATAAAAGCAAAAATTAACCAAATCAGTGGATAAAATACCTTTCTGCCACTACTTAATGAAATAAGTGAATAACAATAAACAACCTGAACATTCAATAAGAAAATTAATAATTATGGCATATCTGCATACTGTAGTCTCAAATATATACACTAAAAGTTTTTCATTACAAGAAAAAGGCATGTTATAATGTTAATATAAAAAGCTACAAAACATTAAATGATGTTTACAAAATAAACACACCAAGACATTAATAGTAATTGTTAGCATGAAATATGGGATTTCTTTTTCATTACTGAAACTGAACCCAAGGGCACTCATCACTAGCCCTTCTGTTTATTTTCTTTTGAGGCAGGGTGTCCCAAAGCTGCCCAGCTGCTCTCAAACTTGTGCTTCTCTTGCCTCGACCTCTCAAGGAGCTGAGATTACAGATGATTCAAGTGACCAACAGTCTTTCCCATTGTGAGTTTCCCATTGTGCCAATGAGTTTATTTTAGAAAGTTCACTACATTTTTTTAATGTAGGATGCCCCTACCACTGAAGTGAAGATAAATGAAGTAATGTGCTTTATGGTGAATCAGGACATCTACTAATACTAAAATGTCTGGGATTCCTAAACCGTAATTTAAAAATT